ATTTCACCCTTTGCACTCGACTTTCGAGTCCCTTCTGAGGGACTTAACTCTAGCTCGGACTTTCTCTTTTTATAATTCGCTGATAATTATAATGAACGTATACATATATATGGTACTGACAAGTAATGTCGTTTTTTGATAGTGTACAAAAAATTTTATTTCATTCCAGAGTTAACACAGTTTTAATCTATAATATAATTTAACAATAAGCACAGTAAACATCAATATGTTTAACTACAATATAGGCTATGTTATAGTAAGTTAAATTGTATTTTCACAATAGATGACAATGTTTATTGAATTTGAAGAAAACGACATTGCTTATGGGTATTTGCATGGTATAATGTCTAAACAGACGCTATAGAGAAAGCTATAGCAACGACATAAGAAAAATAACAGAATTTCAGAAAGAAGAAATTTCTGAAAGCAATCCCGAGCCAATTTACACTCGATAATTCACATAATTCGCATAAACTAGACTTCTTATTGCTTCTTACGAACGTTCAAAAAATGGCGGAAGATATTATTTTTCGAGAAAAATTGAAACTATGTACGTTCAACTTCTGTATGTTATACTTGTTCTAGCAAACCCGCAATGCACGTTGACGATTGCTTTAAATTTAAAACGATATCAAACGATGCTGGAAAGATATAATCAACAAAATTTCGTAAACCTAAACCTAACCTCAAATATGTGTTAACCTCTTGCGCTGAAATTACGCACGTCGAGAATTTTTTGTCCAAAAATTGCAACATTTTCCCAGTTTTAAGTATATTTAAGTCAAACAAGATAGGCAAAACGAATAATAAATTTATTACTTCTCAATAATTTCTATCCAGTGACATCATACCGAGTTCAAAAAGAAAGCGACGAATTATTGTATACGGTTCAGTCACTCGTTACGGTCCGCAAACAGTTGCCAGCGCAAGTGGTTAACCTCTTACGTCGAGAATTTTTTGTCCCAAAATTGCAATATTTTCTCAATTTTAAGTATATTTTAAATATAACCGAGGCAAAACAAGTGATAAATTTATTACTTCTTAATAATTTCTATCTATTTACAGTGATATCGACGAGTTCAGAAAGAAAACGACGATTTATTGTATACGGTTTAGCCACTCGTTATGGTCCGCAATTAGTGGTTAACCTCTTGCGCTGGAGTAACGTGCCACGCACGTCGAGAATTTTTTGCTCCAAAATTGCAACATTTTCTCAGTTTTAACTATATTTAAGTGTAACCCAGGCAAAGCAAATAATAAATTTATTACTTCTTAGTAATTTCTATCCAGTGATATACGAATGAATTCAAAAAACAAGACGAATTATCGTATACGGTTTCGGTCACTCGTTACGGTCCGCAATCAGTTGCCAGCGCGAGTGGTTAACCTCTAACGCACGTCGAGATATTTTTGTCCCAAAATTGCAACATTTTCTCGATTTTAACTATATTTAAGTGTAACCCAGGCAAAGCAAATAATAAATTTATTACTTCTTAGTAATTTCTATCCACTGATATACGAATGAATTCAAAAACGAAGACGAATTATCGTATACGGTTTCGGTCACTCGTTACGGTCCGCAATCAGTTGCCAGCGCAAGGTTAAAATACCACTTGCAATGCTATATCATTTTTAACCTAAATTTTTTCGTATTAAATACCACATTTAAATACCACACAAAAACTTGCATATACCACACAAAAACTTGCATATACCACACAAAAACTTGCAAATACCACACAAAAGCTTGCATATAAAAATTAAATATCATTAAATACCATTGAATGATTACTTGCAACGCTATATCATTTTATTTGAAGCTTGATGCTTCGTAAATAAATTGCTGGTACATGTTTGAAAAGGAGAGTTTGTCGCAAAGGAGGATTAAAATAACGACAAATGGTATGGTTCGATCGGATAGCGAACGTCGCCTTTGAATCGAATCACGTTTGTTAACCGATCGCCCACTGTATTTGCGAAAACTGGGGTCGTCAGGATCTCGTTCTGTCGAGTCTCGGTCTCGTGGGCGAGCCGAATTATGTAAAGTGTAATTGCTCGCGCCTCCCGCCTGATGTTATCAGTCGCCAAACGACTGATTCGGGTCGGGCAAGATAAATTACTCAGCGCGTTTGAATGAATTCACGCGAGTTTTCTCGGGTCATCGAGGATTATCCCTTGGCGCGATAAGAGCGTCAAGTTCGAGAGGAACGGGGTACGGAAGAGGGAGGGAGGAGGCTGTGGATAAGATTACGCGAGATCGCAAACAACGAGCCAAGTCCCGTTCATAGACCAATCATCGAGCAATTTCGCTCGTTGCTTCTTTTTTTCTCTCTCCTCCCTCCTCTTTTCTTTTTTTTTTTTCCTTCCACTCCACGCCAACGTAGCGCAAGAAACCATAGAGACAGATAATTCGTCGTTGCTCATGGATGACAAACGAAAGAGAAACAGTAACGTTTCGCGGTGGTAAATAGGGAAACTCGGTTTTATCCCGGCAAGGATCGATCGATCGACAACCAGTTGTCGGATTTAGCTCTCTCAGCCAGGTCTCTCTATCTCTCTGGTTTCGTGGCACTTTCTGTAATAATAGATTTGTTTGGTTCCCGAGTGCATACCGAGGAAGTAAAGGCTTAATAAATCAGACTAATAATACACGTCAGAATTCCGCGAATGACATCAAGGTTATGCTTTGAGATAATTAAGAACGTTTCTGGAACTCGTGGTGAAACGACGACGACGACGACGACATGCGGTTGTAGCGAACGCAATTCGTTTCTTTCCTTGGGGGAACGCGCGTGTTGTTCCTTGTGTTGCAACTTTTCTATAGTAAAAAAATTGCTTGCTAGGTGACCGATCAGAGAAACATTGAGTTGGCCAAAAAGTATTTCATTTACACACACAGACCTAATCCCTAATATAGTTAATACAGAATCATTTCTCCGGAACGTAACGAGTGGTTACGAGTGCAACGACGAGGTTGCATCCCTTTCAGAAATACGACTACACCGGAGCCCACGATCTACTCGATTTCGAAAAATGTTTACCCGAAACGATTACGAGAAAAAGAAACGAAGGGTCGAGAGGAAATCGAGAAATAAAGGAGACGAATCGACTAGAAAATCCTCTCTCCTCGTTTTTCTTCCTCTTCGTCCATCCCCTCCCCGTTTGCTCCCTGATCAGGAGTTTAGTCTTCCACGAAACCGTCAATCACGGAGTTTCGCGGCGAATTCTGATCCACCGTTATATCGCCGCTGTTTCCGATCATCGGCGCGCACACCTGACTCGAATCAATGATGATAGATGAAGAGTAAATAGAGACGGGAGTTCTTTCTGACTGAACAGCCGCGATAGCGCGTCACGTTGTTTCCCGAAACTTCCGAAATACGCTCCATCTTCCTCCAATACGAATGAATTTCGTTCCACTCTATCGTTCAATCTATTCGTTCGAGTACGTAGCGAGAAGCGACCTTTCGATTCGATTTCTCACGTCGATCTTACTAGACACCGAGTTTTCTGGGCCTGTAGTAATGCAGAAGTTCTACCTCTCGTTAACCACTTACCCTGGCAACTGATTGCGGACCATAACGAGTGACCAAACCGTATACAATAAATCGTCGCTTTCTTTTTGAATTCGTCAGTATGATAACACTGTAGATAGAAATTACTGAGAAGTAATGAATTTATTACATGTTTTGCCTGGGTTATACCTAAATATACTTAAAACTGAGAATATATTGCAATTTTTGGGACACAAATCTCTCGACATAAGAGGTTAATTACTTGTACTAGTAACTGACGGCGGACCATAACGAGTGACCAAACTGTATACAGCAATTCGCTTTCTTTTTGAGCACGTTGGTATGATATCGCTGTAGATAGAAATTATTAAGAAGTAATAAATTTATTACTTGTTTTGCCTGGGTTATACGTAAATCTACTTAAAATTGAGAATATATCGCAATTTTGGGAACACAAATCTCTCGACGTGCGTGACACGTCATTACAGCGCAAGAGGTTAACCACTGGTACTGGCAACTGACTGCGGACCATAACGAGTGACCAAGCCGTATAAAATAAATCGTCGCTTTCTTTTTGAATTCGTCAGTATGATAACACTGTAGATAGAAATTATTGAGAAGTAATAAATTTATTACTTGTTTTGCCTGGGTTATACGTAAATCTACTTAAAATTGAGAATATATCGCAATTTTGGGAACACAAATCTCTCGACGTGCGTGACACGTCATTACAGCGCAAGAGGTTAACCACTGGTACTGGCAACTGACTGCGGACCATAATGAGCGACTAAACCGTACACAATAACACGTTTGTTTTTGAACTCGTCGGTATGATATCACTGTAGATAGAAATTATTAAGAAGTAATAAATGTATTGTTTGTTTTGCCTAGATTATGGTTAAATATACTTGAAACTGAGAATATATTGCAATTTTGGAGCAAAGAATTCTCAACGTGCGTGGCACCACTTGTACTGGCAACTGATTGCGGACCATAACGAGTGACCAAACCGTGTACAATAAATCGTCGCTTTCTTTTTGAAGTCGTCAGTATGATAACACTGTAGATAGAAATTACTGAGAAGTAATAAATTAATTACTTGTTTTGCCTGGATTATACTTAAGTATACTTAAAACTGAGAATATATTGCAATTTTGGAGACGCAAATCTCTCGACGTGCGTGGCACGTCATTGCAGCGCAAGAGGTTAACCACTTGTACTGGCAACTGACTACGGACCATAACGAGTGACCAAACCGTATACAGTAATTCGTCGCTTTCTTTTTGAATTCGTCAGTATGATATCACTGTAGACAGAAATTATTAAGAAGTAATAAATTTATTACTTGTTTTGCCTGGGTTGTACTTAAATATACGTAAAACTTAGAATATATTGCAATTTTGGGAACACAAATCTCTCGACGTGTGTGGCACGTCATTGCAGCGCAAGAGGTTAATCTCGCGGTTGTGATTCTTTTCTTTTCAGCGATAAAGAGGATTAAGGGAATGACGGGAAGGTCCAGCACGAGACGGACGGGCCTCTGTCTGTTGGCACTGTTGTTGTCCTGCCTCTCCAGCGGCGGTTTCGTCGTTGGGGAGCCGGAACCGATCCCCTCGGAGCTTCTCTACAGCAAAAGCTTTATCAACAACGCCGAGAATCTCGTAAGTTAGCCAGCTTATCTCGTGTTTCACGATAAATGCGTATCGTCGTTATCGTATTTGTAAATTAAACGTACACACGTATACACGTCACAGATACTGCTTAATAAGCTGAAGCAAGTGATCGAGGAGAAGGAGGACATAACCGAGCGGGAAAAGACGCTGGACGACGTACAGAGGATGATCGAATCGGTGCTAAGAGCGAAAGCGAAGGACAATTACTCGGACGAGGAGTTACCAGCGCCACCGAATCCACCAAACAGACTAGCGCCACGCTCTGGGAAACGTACCGCGATAAGCTGTGAGTATCGTTTCATTTTTTTGTAATCATCTATATATGCCCGAATGACCGTCGTTTGGTACATCCGTTTCGAATCAATTCGATAGCAGATTCGAGTTGGACGTACGAGCGGGATCTCCCGGAAAAGCTGGAAAGCCCATCTCACGAACTTTGAAAGTATATTAACTGGTACGTGCATCGCCTCTCGATTTCTACGCGCCGAGAAATGAAGCGAAATCCTCTCTCCCCTTTCTTCCACGCAAGTTCCGCTCGAAGATGATCGAGTTAACAATCGCCTTTTATCCATCCATTGCCATCCGTGATTGAACGACTCGTCTTCGACAATTGAAATCGCGCGTCGCGTCGCTTCGTCGTATTCAACGGGCAGGCAGGGCCCGGGGAATTTTCGTGGAACTAGCAAGAAACGACGAGCGTCGATGGGAATCGAGAGGCGAGCCCAATCCATTGTGCCAATTGATCTTTTGATTCACGCCGGTGACGTCACGCCAGCGACGACTCGCTGCCTCGTTGAAAAACAAATCGCGGCGCGATCGATCGATCGATCGATCCACGGACGGACCGACCCGCTCCCGATTAATATTCGGCGCCAGACGAACTTCGAATCCCTTTCAGAATAATCGAATCAAGTCGAATCGAGCGATGCTTCTCAAAACGACGGTTTGACCTATACCAACTGACCATCATTTGTCTTCTTTTTTTTTTCTCTCTCTCTCTCTCTCTCTCTTGCCGCTGTTTAGATATGACCTTGTGCCACTTCAAGATCTGTAACATGGGACGCAAGCGACAATTGCACAAGTAAACGGCGAGCGAATCGTTCGCGGACGACGGCCAGGTCGAGAATGGTCGAGCCTCTCGCGCGGTGCACCCTCTGCCACGAAAACCTCCCCCTCCCGCGTGCAGACGAGAAGAAACGTGAACAGAAGCTGCTGCATTCGGAAACTGGGACCCGGCGATCGAGCGCTACCGAAACGCTCTCTCACTGAGATTTTCAATTCGACAGGCTTTCGCCAAATGATCGTGACCCTGACCCACTCTCTGACCTCTTCGACTTTGACTCGATGCTCACCGTAATTATATATAAATAATCCGCGCTTCCACTTTCGAACACCGCTTGAACACCGTGGCTCCCAACGTGGGACGACAATTCGAGAACGAGTTATTAACAGCGAATTTCACCTTAAGACGAGCTCAAGTTATACTATGAGTTTGTCAGGCACTTTGGTTTATCTTACAACAATTTGAATGATCGAAGCGTTGCGGAAGAAGCTTCCGTTAAAATTATCCTATATTTGTGCGTTTTCAGTATTCTCTTTTATACGTTTTGAAACTTTATTTGCTATTTTATTTTATTTTTTTTTTTTTTTTTTCTTTGATGAACGTCACGTTCTTTGGAAGCTTGAGGTTAATGGTCTTTTTTGGGCTTCCTCCGTATGAAAAGATTCACTTTGTTATTAATAAGAATTATGTATCACAGGAATAGGACATCAGGACTTTAGAAATATTTAGGTGAGGCATGGCCAAAAAATGGTTGGGAACCACTGGCTTAACCTCTTAGCTGTGCTTAACCGTTTTTAAAAAGTGCGTATCTACATTGTGCCGTTGGAACGACACGATGACGATTATACTCATCAAACAGAGTGTGTGCAGCTGCTTTAAAATTGAAAAATCGACGATTTTATTGTTTAACTTAACTGATATTGATCAACTGATTAATATTAATTGATAATAATTAATATTAACAGCATAAAAATATTTAGAAACGATGCAAAAAGAACTTAAAGAAAGTCTTAAAATATTCTTATATTTATGAATATGTTTCATTTTCCACCAAAGACTTAATTCGAGTAACAAATTGCAATTATTTTTCACGCACGACGAGCATACCCGTCGTTACACAAAACCAGTCGTGTCTAACCTCAAAATATTCTAAAATGTCTAAAATTCCCGAGTACGTTTCATTTTCCACGAAAAATGTAATTCGAGTAACAAATTATAATTATTTTTCACGCACGACGAGCATACCCGTCGTTACACAAAACCAGTCGTGTCTAACCTCGAAATATTCTAAAATGTCTAAAATTCCCGAGTACGTTTCATTTTCCACGAAAAATGTAATTCGAGTAACAAATTATAATTATTTTTCACGCACGACGAGCATACCCGTCGTTACACAAAACCAGTCGTGTCTAACCTCGAAATATTCTAAAATGTCTAAAATTCCCGAGTACGTTTCATTTTCCACGAAAAATGTAATTCGAGTAACAAATTATAATTATTTCTCACGCACGTCGTTACACAAAACCAGTCGTATCTAACCTCAAAATATTCTAAAATGTCTAAAATTCCCGAATACGTTTCATTTCCCACGAAAAATGTAATTCGAGTAACAAATTACAATTGTTTTTCTCGCACGACGAGTATACTCGTCGCTCACAGCTAAGAGGTTAAACGACCTTGCACGCTCACATCACCGGAAACGCATCGGGGTTGCAGCGGCGACGACAAGACACGACGAATGCACGCGTTTCGCTCGTAGTATTCAGCAGTATCAGTTCCATTTGCTCGAGGACACTGCATTCGCGGCCCGCACAATCGTTTTGTCCCGTTCGATGATGTACGAGAACACAGTAAGCTCAGTGGCTGATTGTCACAATCAAAACTGCAATTTTTAGAAAATGCTCGGACGTAAAATTAATGGACAGACGAACGCGAGAGAACAAAAAGAGGGAAGGGAAAAAAAAAAAGAGTAAGTTCTTAGAGAGTGGAGTGTCCTCGACGAGCCATCGATATAAAAAATCGAAATGGCGAATAAGTATTTATTCGTTAGCTTTAAGTGAGAAGGGTGCAAGGGCCGAGGCTCCAATATTCTCGAAACTGTCTTCTTTGAGGGAAATAACAGCGACAAAAGAAAAAGAAAAAGAAAAACAATGAAATCAATGGTAAGAGAAAAACGAAAAATTTCAATTGTATAAAAAGAAAAGAAAAAAAAAAAAAGAAATAGTTCTTCTAGTTAGCGAACAATTTGTTACGGCACTTGTTTCTTCACGTGTAAGTTCAAGCTACGACTCACAGAAATAGAATGTACTTAAGCGTTGCTTAATTCGCTAATTGTGATTTACGACCCTTTTTCCCAATCGCACGACAACCTCTCGAAAACTGAAACCACCGTGTCTCCTTTCTGTCCTAGAACCTCGTCAAACAAACAAGCGATGCGTTTAGTAGAAATATAAACAAGTATAGTTAGTAAAACGACCTACCGTTTAGTAGAAAGATAAACAGTATAGTTTAGTGGAATGCGAACGACAACGGGATCTCAGGTATAACAGAGACAGGGAAAAGAGTGATCGCCTGCACCCTTCGTTAAATTATTTATGATCGTTTCGTAAAAAAGGAACACGCCAAGTTTATATAGTCTTTTTATGCGTCCCCTTTTTATTTATTTAGCCCCGGTTGATTCGTTACTTTTTTTTTTTTTTTTTTTTTTTTTTAGTAGCTCCTAATCGAAAGTAGAACCTCGAAATGTTTTGTACGTGACTAGAAATACCGTCGATACCGATTTTTCTACAAATTTCATTTTTATTGTTTGTAATTTAAATACATTTTACACGTAGCTACACGTCAAAACATACCGTCGTACATACCGTTTATTTGTCGAATCGAACAGCTCTCACACGAGTGTGTATTGCTGTAATTAGAACACTTGGACTCTCAAAACTAAACCGAGTTTTAACAATGATTTCGTTGTATATGTATATATCGCGCCCCGCTTCCAACGCGCGATAAATTAATAATTTTGCAGCATTACGGCCCTCGATAGCAATGTAACATAACGATAGTAACAATAAAACGTGTAATCGTACGAACATATGTATTCGTAAATTTATTGTTTCCGTTGTGTCGAATTAATCGAGTATTCTTTGAAATAAATTTCGTGAAAACAAATGATTTTTTTTATTTTTTATTCGCAGTCGTATAAATAGCGGGACGGCTCTCTTTTTTAACCATTCGTCCTTGGGAATGTTGGGAATAACGGTACGAAAATATACACGCGTTTACGATCATTGCATAATATTGAATCAATGCATTCTAACGCTCGTAATTCAAGCTTGAACGAGCGCGCGTCATGCCGTACAAAGTGTGTACACGTGCTTGGTCAAGTGAGATAACAAACGCAATGTGCAGAATTACGTTCATAAAAATTATTACACTACAGCAAGATCCGACGATTCATGATATGATCGCGATGCCGATCATTGATAACGACCCAACGGTAGAAAAATAATCAATTTCCAACGCATATAACCTCCATATAACCTCAAATCGGTTTCTTTTTTTTTTTAAATTTCTATCTAGTTAAATTTCAAATGAAACTCTTACCAGTGTAATTGCAGCTCTTCGGGTACTTTTAATTTTTTGTGTTTATTTACGGCATGATAAATAATTAATAAATAATCTTAAACCATACAAATATCACAACCATTCTGGGTACACTATATTCTACTAAACGCATCTTTCCGAAACATAATCGCCCTCTAGCGACTACTTTTCACACTCTTCATATCTCGCGTCACGTTTCAATTGGTAATATCTTTGATATTTTTTTGTTTAGCTTGCCAAATAAAATCATTAACAAGAATTAACTCGTCTTTATAGTCAGTGATACAAATTAAACTTTGAACTAAATAATACAAAACAAAACTTTACGTGAGCTTGACATTTCAAATAATCAGAACAAATTAAGCAATGACTTTTATTCGCATAAAAAGTGAAAGTATATATGCTTAAAACTAGTTTGTCAGTGTCGAATTTTACAAAATAGATACTCGTACCGTATACGCTTTTTCGGCGTATTATAGATACATATGAAGACTATTTACATCATCTTCTTTTTTGCTTGTGCTTCTCCGATTTTTCACACCTTTCTACGGATCGATTTTTTGCACGCTTTTTTTTATGACTCGAATACCTTTCCTTATGTTTCTCGTGTCTTGAATCCTCGTTATTAGAATTAGAACTTTCCCTATCCCGTCTCTTTTTCTCACTGTCGTATCTCTTTTTCTGTTTCTGCTCTTTATAACTTTCCCGCTTGCTTTTCTCTCGGTTTCTATCTCTGCTTCTATCTCTGCTTCTATCTCTGCTTCTATCTCTACTTCTATCTCTACTTCTCCTTTTCCTTTCTTTTCTCCGTCTGGAATCGTAGTCATATCTTTCGCGTGAACCATCACGATGCCTTTGTACCTTATACTTTTCCTTCTCTACGTATTTATCCCCGTTATAAACGTATTTCGCATCGTCTTTAACAGCGTTCTTCCTACGCTCGTGTTTTCTGTGTTCTAATATTTCCTCTTCGTGCCTAATCCGTTGATTCATATTTTTAATCTCGTTTCCTTTATCATCGAAATATTGTATGCCTTTACCCTTGCCTTTCCATCTCATTTTGGCTACCGATTGCGAAAAATCAACGTGTATACGACGATCGTCGATCAACACGTTGTCCATTTTAAAATACGCCTCTTCGCAACTTTTGTGATCGGCAAACTCGATAAAAGCATATTGCAACGAATCTCCGGTTTGCCGATCTCTGATGACTTCGCAACTGAAAGGAAAGAAGAGAAAAAATAATTTGATACGCCAAATTTAAGGTAACAGATATCTATCGGCAAAATTGCTGAACCCGACTAAAATTTATACCCAATAATCTTTCCAAATCTGCTGAAAATAATTTCCAGGTCATCGTCCGTTGTAACAGGATTCAATTTACAAACGAATAAAACATTTTCCGGAGGAGCCATGTCCGCATCCGGAATATCACCCACAATTTCCAGTATCGTAGCTCTTGCTTTAGCTTCCTTGTCTCTTTGCATTTCTACAATTTCCTCTGCCGTCATACCAGCAGTGTCATCTATCACTTCGTCAGCACCGATTCTATCGCTCTGCAAATGCATTTGTTCAGTGTGACAGAAAAAGTGCTTCTTCGGGTTTTAACATAAAATAAAAGAAAATTATACCATTAAGACTTCTTTAGACGGTGGTGGACTTTGATCAGGCAAGATAAAACCCTTTGGGTCCTCAAAAGGATCTTCTAAAATAACAGTATGCGAGATACGTATGTCCTGGTAGGGTCTATGATCTCCATCACAAATTGTTTCGTTAAACTTGAGAATAATTTCCAGACCTTCGGTAATTTCACCAAATACGCAATGCTCTCCATCCAGTGATTGAAGTTCAGTTGCAAGAGTGATAAAAAACTGAGATCCAAGCATGTTGTTGCCGCAATTAACCATGGACAATAAACCACTTCTATCGTGCTTTATTTTTGGCATTTGCTCTGCTTCGTAGTATCTTGCTTTCTCACCTAATACTATTCCATAAACACTTTCACCACCTTTTCCAGTACTGGTCGGGTCTCCAGTTTGAGCAATAAAATTGCTCTGAACAGAGTGGAATAGATTCCAGTTGTAATACTTCAATTTGCATAATTTTAAAAAGTTTCGGCATGCTGCAAAATATTACCCATGTTAACAAACAGCATTATCAACGATGAGATTTCTTTCATTCAAACCAATAGTATAAAATAAGATAACTTAACCTCTATTCTTGCTTCACACTTACTTTGTGGCCGTTCTTCGGTATATAAATCGACAGTAAAATCTCCTATGGTAGTTTCTACTACAACCGCCATGTTTTTACAGTTTTCTTACGTGGAGATCAATTTCATTTTTACTTATTACGTATGTGACAACAATAAAAAAATCTCTTCTTGTAAATACGTGGACCGCAATACGTACATATGTATAGTAACAACGAGCGTCACCTATATACGTAACGCTGAACTACAAGCGTGTTTCAAAATCTATTCCAATTCTATATATTCAGAAAAATAAATTACAATCTTTTTAAAAATTCTTTATATCGATTATGACATGTTATGTATATATGTATACATAAACAGTGGCAGTGAAATACAGATTAACAAATATTCTTATCTCTTCTCTTTTGGCAAGATTGGCGGTACATAATTGAGTTTGTGTTTATAAGCATCAGGTATAAGAGCGTTTAAAACCACATGTGTTACAGCGGCAGTGAAACCCCAAACGCGATGTTTCCCACCTAAATATACAGGCAAAGTGTAATTGTTGCGGAACTGAGTGAAACGGCACATCGAAAGATCGCAGAGATTTTTTAGGCTGAAGAAGAAAGCTTCCTCTACTTCGTCCGCATTTATTTGAAGTTTTTTCGGATCGACATCGCCGATGTAACCGAAAACAGGTAACACCTTGACGTTCATTTTATCGATCACGTTACCGGACACCCAAACGTCGATTTTCTCCCTTGGAATTTTAAGTTCCTCCCACGTTTCACGCAATGCAGTCTCTTCCAGCGTACGATCCTCTTTGTCGTACATTCCACCGGGAAACGAGACTTGGCGACGGTTCGAGGTTACCTTGGTAGATCTTAAGGTATACAAGAAACCCAATTCTCCTTTGTGCATGCATAATGGCACTAAAACAGCCGCTTGATTCCCATTATCATCCACTTTTGGTATTTTACTAGCCTTGAACTTCTCAATGAACGACTTGCGGCTTTTCTCGCTGAGCACCACTTCTGGCTTCAAAAGTTCGGACTTGATCGTATTCAGGCCATGCTGCGATTCCGTCGACTTTTATGTAAAGAAGAAACATTTCTTTAAAGCGATACTACGATGACAATCAATGGTGTCGAAACGCGGACATTTCAGTCGCTTTCGTACGTTACATGTTAAAAAAGACTGGTTAAACATATCTATAATTAGCATTAACAATTCAACAGTAGCGGCATTTTTTTTAAAGTTAAAAACAAAGTAAAAAAAAAAAAAATTAAAAAAGAGAATGAAAGTTTTCATACAAGTAACATATTTTATTTTTTTGCCACCATTATTTGAAAATAAATGAACGGATATCCGCGAGGAATGCACCATCTAGTGTACAAAGGACGAAGCAAGGAAATTTATGACAACTTTCACATGGAAAAAAAATACTCACAAAATAACGCTGCAAACAGCGTAAAGGAAAGGAACACAGTTTCATCGATGCGAATTACGCCTGAGATAACGTCTTTTACGTTATCTGCGATAAAAGACTGAGAAACTTTGTAAAAAAAATACTTGAAGCGCAGCTGTCGTTGATGCTCAATTTACTAAGAATCTCTTGCAACATGCCTTCTATTAAAATGATTTTCTGCATAGCTGCTAGATGTCCGATCAATCGGACGATTTGAATTTCTTTTTTTTAAGTATGGCAATCAGCAGTCGACAGATTGATCGCACGTTACTCTCCCAACTTCCTATCGTTATATATATATACATACATGTATTTTGTTATTACTATACATTTTATCTTAAACGTTTCATACTTATAAATAGAATAATTTTCCTGTAATAATATTTTTTTTTACATCATCAATATTGTATTACTGTTATATTAAGTTTTATTTATAATGATATTTTCTTTCAAGTTTTTTTCAGTAATTGTATAATTCATCATAATGGTTATTTCCTATAATAGGTTTCAATGGTAATTAGAATATTTACTGAATCATGCTTATGTACTCTCTGCCCGTTGCAGGTAATAAATTATTCACGTCATATAATGACTTATTAGACTTTTCAAAATTACAGAAAACAGGAAGAGCGTAAATATCACCTTTCACAATTGGTACGATGTTGGTATTACGAAACACCAATATTTGCTACCCAAATTAATGTTTCTTGCAATATGCGCCTAGCTAAGGAATAATTTGATATTATATCCATCATTCTGATTTTTATGTTACAATATGAGTTCTAATTCTATCTCTAGTGGTTAGTTTATTTTCAATTATTCAATCGTCGATTATTTTCAATCTCCAAAATTATAAAATTAACTTGTCGCGTGTTGTTTTGAACGTGAAAATTGTTTTTCAGATTTTAACTGTGCATCGGTTAATTTATTATTTGAATCGTGTTCCAAGTTGCAACGCACAAACACGATAGAAACCGAATCTCGAAGCCGTCACGTTCCTACGAAAATTCTAACGTTCCTGTTCTTCGAGATTTTTATCTCGTTGCGACGAATAAATCCATAGTAACGATTGAACGAAAAACCTACAAGGCTAGAATACATTCGAATTTACAATAAGTCGAGTCGTAGCGTATCACGTTTGTATGAAGGAAAGAATTGTAAATGTCAGCTCCTACCTTTCAATTCAATTCAATTCTACGAAAATTATATAAAAAGATAGATATTTTAAAATATTAATACAGCGATAATAAGAATCGGCTTTAGTTTCTAATTTGTTAATTACACTACAGAGAAAGATAAAGAATCAGTTAATATGAACTAACTTTGTAGCCAGAATGAATATTTATTAATAATTTGTGATGTAATTAGATGACCGAGGTTATGTAAATATCTCTCGTATCGCACAGAATTAAGTACAAAATTAAATATTTTTAATTTGATTTTTACTCAACAGCTGTAGTTATAACCTTTTTCGATCGATAATTTCAGGAAACAGAAAAAAAAAGAAAAAAAAATATGAACGGTCTGTGACATCAGATGCTTTGCAATTGAAAAAAACAAACGTTTCAAATTTCAAGTTTGTGAGAATTCCTGAGGAAGTGTAGCGGAAGCCGAGCGAAGCCGAGAACGGCCGAAGGGCGCTGAATCATTCGATGCATTAGGACTGTGATTACCGACGTCGCCATCGCGTTGTCTGTCGCTGGAGTTGTAGTTCGGGACGTTCGTCCAGTGAAACGTGATTGTTCGCCGCTTGTGCATCTTTCCTGTTGACTGTTCCCTCGACAGCGATATAGAAGGTGTCGAATAATACGAGCAATGAGTAATCGTGATAGACCTACGTGTTGAGGTTAAATTACAGTTGAAAAATAATCGTTCGATATCGGGTGCGCTCTTGTGAACGGGCTATGCGTTGGTTTTGCGTGTTGTTTTCCCGAGGTCACCGTCGGACTTTGACAGACGCTGATATGTCACGGCTAAGCGTGATATTCTTCGTACTAGGTGCTTGGAGTCTTACTGGCACGGTAAGTTGTCGAATATGTCGCAAAATCAGAGTCTCGCGAATATCGTGTAGAAATAATTCATCGCCTATACCACACCCTGGTGTGAAATGGGCATCGCGTTCGTGACGTCACCTCGACTTAGCCTCGAAAATACCGTTGATACTGCCGCCGATGCATTCGTTTAAAGAAGTCCATTAAATTTAATTATATCATTGCCTTATACGCCAATAGGACACATTAACCGATATCACTTGAACTTTGCTTGTCGAGACGAGATCTACATATTTTCTTTCTTTTTTTTTTTAAATCGTTGAACTCGATCTTTCCGCTTGTAAGAGATTGACGTCATGGTTTTTGTTTATGCAAACTTTTGACAAAATGTTTCTACGTTCCATAAAATATATATATATATATTACAAATTTCTAATTATATCTTAATTCTTTGAACAAGGGAATGATTTCTTGAAAAATGAGTCAAAAGTAAAAACGAGGTAATTGCTTATTTTTATTATCATTTTTTAGATTGAGGGATATAACAAGTAAATAATGATATTTAAAACTTTAATTATTAATCGTTAATTTTTTTGCATAAAAGAATAATTTCTTGAAAAATCTTCAAAAGTTAATACGGGATAATTGTTTCCTTATCATTTTATCATCAATTTTTGGACTAAAGAATGTAATAAATAAATAATGATTTCAAGGTGTGGGAGAGAGAGAGAGAGAAAGAAATAGTTCTTTATCTTTTTAGCAGTGATTAGGTTGATTAATTTAATTTGTGACAATGACTGTACTTAATATCAGTTCTATCTTTTATCAAGTGAGTGAATGAGAAGGAAAAGTTAAAGCCTTTGTGTGTAATAGTTACGTTCGAAAAGCAGTGATTCATTATTTGTTAATATCTAGTGTATTATGACAGAATGATTCAAATTGATAAGTATCTTATTAATTTCTCGTTTTTAATCATTGAATAATTAGAAGTATGATGAACACATTGAAATATGTTGAAATTATTGTGAAATGATATTTAAATAATGCTCATTTCTTTCTTTAATCTATAATTATGTAAATTATTGTAAATTTTTAACTATTTAATCTTTAATTATATATGTTTTGTTAGAAAAAAATTGTTTAATTTGCCAATAGGTATCTGCAGCACAAGATGGTCATTGTATTTGGTATGGAGAGTGTTATACAGATGCATTTATGCATAAAAAGAATTGTCCTTATACGGGACCACCTAAGTTACTGGATAATGAAGGCCAAGAGTTATTGGCCAAAAATTGTCCTCATTTAATGGTTGATTCTGGAAATGGGATTAACACTTGCTGCGATACAAATCAATTAAAAACAATGGATAAAAATATCAAATTAGCAGCTAATTTTTTAAACAGATGCCCTAGTTGTTTAGATAATTTAGTAAAACATTTCTGTGAATTTACTTGTAGTAAGGAGCAAAGCAAGTTTATCAATGTTACTGAAATGGTGAAAGAAAAAGGTAATTTGAGATATTTAACAATGTTCTTATAAATAGTAAGTTACTGATGTTTAATAAATATTAATAATGATATTTCTTTTCAGATATAGAGTACATTAATGCAATAGATGTTTACATAACAAATAAGTATTTGGAAGGTACCTTTAACTCGTGTAACAAAGTATCAGTTCCCAGTACTGGGCAATTAGCAATGGATTTAATGTGTGGAATATGGGGAGCTAGTAGATGTACCACATTAAAATGGTTTCATTATATGGGTGACGCAAATAACCCATATGTACCATTTCAAATTACATACATAAATACTGATGAACCTGTAGGTCCGTTTATTCCTGTGGATCCTACAGTTACTCCCTGCAATAAAGCATTAAACGTAAGTACTTGTTCTCATTCTTTTACTTACATACTGTTAATTAACCATAAACAAATTTAGCTCAACTGATGTTCACATACTGTAGTTGTGCATTATATACTGTGCATATGCCTACACATATATGTCATGTATGTTACATATATGTACACATGTCATATATCTGTTAATTAAATTAGTATAGGTCTGACTGATATATATATATTAATTGAATTATATAGTTAGTACAAGTTAGGGATTTATAATTTGATTTATTGTCTGATTTGTAATGTATTTAATATGTTTTATATGTTTAGAAAAATACACCAGCATGCAGTTGCGTAGACTGTGAAGCCAGTTGTCCAGTACCTCCACCAGCTCCTCCTTTACCAAGACCATTCACCATTTTTGGCTGTGATGGCTATGCTGTAGTGATGATAATTACTTTTGTGTGTGGTTCAGTTCTCTTCATCTTATTCACTGTGTGCTTCAATAGAAAACAAATTGGTAAGGAATTTCATTTGTTATTGAAGAATATTTACTTAGAAAAATACATAATTCTTTGTATATTTGGGTGGATATTACTAAATTATATAATACAAAATGTGTGAAATGCATTTTTTGTATCTAATTGCTAATTTTGTATGTAATAGTCATTTACATTATTCCAAAAATGACAAGTATAGATCAAATTATCTGATCCATATCATTGACCTTCTTCCTTGGTTACAGGATTATTTTTTATCGTTGTGTTTCTTCTGTATTATCGTATTTTTTGGTTGTGGTTTAAGGATTAATTTAGAAATTAATTTCTATTTCTCACTCTGCTTGGTTTGTTATTTTTTTTCTTTCGGTTAATAATTCGGTAATCATCATAAGTTATACATAGTAATTAGAAAAAATAATAATGATGAAACTGAAACATTTGATAGTAATTTTTTTTATTAGCAAACGGTTACAACATTACAATAAACTATAAATGTAAAACTGTTCATTTTTTCGCGGTAAAATAAATAAGACATTTACTTGAAATTGAAAAGATTTGATTTGGAATCATCAGTTGTATGTATGGTGTGCGTATATGTATAGTTGCACGAGGTGAGGAAGTAGGAAGGCAGGTGGGTAGACGCCTAGCCGCAGGGTTACATCACCCAGGAGATGGTGCTCGTATTGCTCTCGCCGCAGACCAGGAAGACAGCCCACTTCAATCTAAACGTTCCAGTACGTTCTTATCAAGAGTATCTTCAATATGTGGACTTGTGCTTGACCCTTAAATTCTGTTTTATTATTGTGTTTACTTTCGTTATTATGTCATTATGCTTGGTTATTACTTTTATCATCTATGCTTGATCGCTTTCCTGATCAAAAGACTTTTCCTTCATTTCTCACTCGTATATTATCATCATCAAAGTATTTTCAAATTTCCACGTGCTAATGTGTCTCAAAATGTATGCAGTACCCTCTGAGGACACGTCTAAAATTTGTTTATTAAATGTCATGAATATCTATTATATTATTATTGTACAATATTTCGAATCAGTATATATAGTATTTATTACGATCTTTCATACTTTTGATTAATATTTATTTCGTGAATATGTATAATTTAAAATTTAATTATATTTCTATATTTAATTTCATATCTTTTAATATTTTATATTCTTTAGTAGAAGTATTCAAAGTGCTGTGGTTGTTAAGCGATAACATTTGATAAATCAGAAATTTGAACTGTTAAATTCAATCATTATCTGCTTGTCTTTTTTTATTTTTATAATTAAAGCAAATTGCTTTAGCATAAAATCTATATATTATATTAATATTTTTGTGGCAACTTTTTTATTACATACAATTGAATGTATAGTTTGCTTAATGTATCTGTTTACAGCACACCGTCTACAGTTTATTTCATTTACTGCAGCACTTTTTGGACATATACATTACAATATGCTCTCTTTCGTAACACAAAAACTTTTATAGGTGTGATATCTGCAGATGATTTGCCGAGCGGATTCGACGACGAAGAGCAATCAACCTTCATCGAAAGATTGGGTGCAGGCACAGACAAACTGTTAGCAGAATTCTTTTGCTGGTGGGGTACAGGTACGAGATCGTTTCGATTAGGAGTTATATTACAAAAATATCATATTTCGATGATGGGCAGAGTTTATTGAATTTCTTTTTTCAGCATGTGCATCACGACCATGGTTTGTCCTTTTCGTTGGTTTCTTATTTATTATTGCTTTGGGACACGGAATCAAATATATACACGTTACCACCGATCCGGTTGAACTATGGGCTGCTCCGCAATCCCGATCAAGAATCGAAAAAGAATATTTCGACGAACATTTCGAGCCATTCTATAGAACCGAACAAATAATTATAACATCAGTTGGTTTGCCAAATGTAAATGTTTTTCATTGATAATATCAAATTGTCTCTTTGACAACGTATAAAATATGTACTGTTATATCAATTCTTTTCAGATTATGCATAATACATCCAACGGTGTGGTATCGTTCGGCCCCGTATTTAATGATACTTTTCTCAAAACTATCTACAAGTTACAAGAAGAAATAAAAAAGATAACAACTCCGAATAACTATACCTTAGCAAACGTATGTTTTGCACCATTGACCAGTCCCTTTACTGGTCCTGTAACAGCGTCACAATGCGTAATTCAAAGTATATGGGGATACTGGCAAGATAATTTAGAAACTTTTGATTATACTACCATAGATGACGATAATTTTACAGTAAATTATTTAGATCATTTCAGAGTTTGTTCGCAGTAAGTTAATTTGATTTGAGCAATATTACACAAATGTTGTATAACTTTGTTATGCATAATTTTTTTTTATTATACCTTATCTTCAGAAATGCGTATAATCCTGAATGTCTGGCACCTTATGGTGGTCCTGTGGAACCAGCAATTGCAGTCGGTGGATTTTTATCACCAGGTCAAGACCTTCAGAAACCTTCGTATGAAAAAGCCACAGCAGTGATTTTAACTATACTAGTAAATAATTACCATAATAAATCTAAGTTACATCCGGCAATGGAATGGGAAATGAGGTGATTAAATCGTACAACAACACTTAAAGCAATATTTAAACGTTTGTTCTTCAATATTTAATAAGATAATGTTGCAATTTTAGTTATGTCAAATTTATGAAAGATTGGGTAGCGACGAAGAAACCAGAATTTATGGACATTGCCTTCACTTCGGAGCGATCAATAGAGGATGAATTGAATCGTGAATCTCAGTCAGATGTTTTAACTATTCTTGTATCGTATATTATTATGTTCGCGTATATTGCGATTTCTCTTGGTCAGATAAAAAACTGCAGTCGACTTCTGGTAAAAATGATGAAACAGAAAATTCTGAAATTCAAATATTTATTTTGTCGACATATAGATATATCTAATATTTACTTTTTTTCATGATTAGATCGACTCTAAAATTACTCTTGGCCTTGGTGGTGTTCTCCTGGTATTGGCTTCTGTTCTTTGTTCTGTTGGTTTATTTGGTTTCATTGGCATTCCGGCTACGCTCATTATTATTGAAGTCATACCATTCCTTGTCCTTGCTGTTGGAGTAGACAATATTTTCATTCTTGTCCAAACACATCAAAGAGAAACTCGTCATCCCAATGAGTCAATACCTGAACATATCGGTCGTATTCTTGGTCAAGTGGGACCAAGTATGTTGCTCACCAGCGTATCCGAAAGTTGTTGTTTCTTCCTTGGTAAATATCAAAAAGATTTGCACATCAAATATTGTGTAAAAAGCGTTAAATAAGAATATGTTGAAAGCATTTTAATCTTTCAGGCGGATTATCTGACATGCCTGCTGTTAGAGCTTTTGCTCTGTATGCCGGCATGGCATTATTGGTGGACTTTGTGTTACAAGTAACATGTTTTGTTAGCCTACTAGCGCTAGATACTGTTCGTCAAGCAGTACGTATTACTAAAATCGAATATGCGTGTAATAGGAGGGCAACTAATTGATGTTTTTATGTATTTTTTAGAACAATAAACTCGATGTATGTTGTTTTATTCGTGGTTCGAAAAAAGACAACGGAGAGGAGGTAGTGAATGGAATTTTGTACAAACTTTTCAAAATCGTGTACGTTCCGCTACTCTTGAAAAAGTGGGTGCGTGCATTCGTTATGTTAGTATTCTTTGGTTGGATTTGTTCGAGTATTGCGGTCGTTCCACATATTGAAATCGGTCTCGATCAGGAACTTTCCATGCCCGAAGATAGTTTTGTTTTGAAGTATTTCAAAGTGAGTAATATTACATATATATCAATGAACGGTACAAATACACATAAATAAGAAATAATCATAATAATTGTCTTTTTTTCTTTTGCAGTTTTTAAATAGTTATTTATCTATTGGACCACCAATGTATTTTGTTGTAAAAGACGGTTTGAATTATTCCAATAAGGGTGAGCAGAATCTCGTATGCGGCGGTCAATATTGTAATAGCGATTCAGTGTCTACCCAGATATTTATAGCATCAAAACAATCAAACAGGTAAATTATAGATAGTAAAAAGTATATTTTTCATTGCATCAAGTTATACAATAGATTTATTCAAATAATTATCTGTTTAGGACATACATAGCAAAACCTGCATCATCATGGATAGATGATTATATCGATTGGTCTCAGCTACCAATGTGTTGTAAATATTTTGTTTCAAATAACACCTTTTGTCCGCATACAGGTATAAGATCAAAATTAAATTTTTTGCACTATTTTGCGATATATTATTTAGAAGAAAATGAAAATATATATTTCATATTTTCAGGATCAAGTTCATATTGTTCTTCATGTAATATTACCACAAATAATATCGGCCGACCTATACCAACAGATTTTGAACGATATGTATCGTTTTTCTTACAAGATAATCCCGATGAAATGTGTGCTAAAGGAGGTCACGCTGCTTATGGTCACGGTGTTAATTATGTTACTAACCCTGAAGGACTGTCGAAAGTTGGGGCGTCTTATTTTATGGCTTACCATACTATATTGAAAACATCCGCTGATTATTACGAATCAATGAGAGCTGCAAGAGTTATATCGGCAAATATAACAGACACGATTAACAGTTATTTAAAAAATATCGGTAGCAATCAAAATGTTGAAGTATTTCCATACAGCATATTTTATGTTTTCTATGAACAGTACTTAACAATGTGGCCTGACACATTATACAGTATAGGAATATCCTTAATCGCTATTTTTGTGGTAACTTTCCTCTTGATGGGCTTGGACATATTTTCCTCTGTTATCGTTGTAACAACAATCACTATGATTGTTGTTAATATTGGTGGTTTAATGTATTGGTGGCACATAACGTTGAATGCAGTGTCCCTCGTTAATCTCGTTATGGTGAGCATATCTCAAGTTTTCAAGTGCAGAATTTCATTTGAAAAGATTAACAATGTATTTTTTTCCGTAGGCTGTTGGAATTGCTGTCGAATTTTGTAGTCATTTGGTACATTCTTTCTCAGTATCAGTGAAAACAACGAGGGTCGAAAGGGTTGCTGATGCATTAACAAATATGGGAAGTTCGATTTTCAGTGGTATAACTCTTACGAAATTTGGTGGAATTGTAGTACTCGGTTTTGCTAAAAGTCAAATTTTTAAGGTATGTTTATTTATATATATATATATTAAATGTATTATATATATAATATTCAGAATCGTAACGTATGGGACCCACTTTGAAACAATGTCAAATAAGACACATGTTCATATGAACTTTTTTTATTGTTTTAATATCTCCTGTCTATTTTTGAAATGAATCCCATATGTTATGATACACCATGAGAATTAAAATCATAAAAAAAAATCTGTATTGAAAAAATTTTCAGGTGTTCTACTTCAGAATGTACCTGGGTATTGTGCTGTTTGGAGCTGCACATGGTCTAATATTCCTGCCAGTATTATTAAGTTACATTGGTAAGATTGATTGATTCTAATTATGACAAATTTTATTATTCAAATAGCATAGTGTCATATTTATATCTAATTTTCATGCAAATCATATTACGTTGCTTAAGGATTTCACCTATATGTTGATCTGAACAAAAAAAAAAAAAAAAAAAAAAAACACCAGTGTTTACTTAAATAACGTAGTAAAAGATAGGTTTAATTTTCATATCCCTAGATTAGAAGATACGATCGACATGCAAGAAGGTTGTGTTTTACAGACAAAACTCGTTCACTCATGTCTTTTTTGCTTGTAACGTTAATATCTATATTTATTTTTGTTGGTATATTAACATAGAAATTTGTCTTCAAGTATCGACGACCTTCTAGTAATTTCTATTCGGGAAAAGACTAAAAATAAAAGTACAGCTTAAGAGAGCTTCGTCATGGCTTCTGGTGGTTCTAGGCACACCAATGAACAGAGAAAAGTTGGCAAATCACAAGAGAGCAATGCAAGGAAATCTGGACAACGTACAGGAGACTTCCTTGAATCATCGCGTAAGCAATCTCAATTCTCCTCCCACACCCACCACAAGCACACCCACCTTCAGAGTGCTCGAATATGAGAGATAGGTACGCAGGATACATTTACACTTCCTTTTGTATCGTTACAATATTTCTATCTTTGTCTACACACTTGGACACAGCTTGAAGCAACACCCGGCTTTAGTTCAAAATTAGTCTCTGAGAACAAGCAATATGTAAATATTTTTGACACGTCGAATGGAATTTCCTGCACTTGCACAACAGATATTCGAAACCGCAAATACTACTAAGCTTTCTCCTGAAATTTGCTTATTACAAAACAATCTCTGTGTGTCGATGAGTGTGGGATGGGATATCTATATCTATTTCTATTTCTATTTTTATAAAAATATGCTGCTTTGTTAAAGCCATTTTCTTTTCGTTGTTTCAATAGTTATAAATTAGTTGCAAGACTTCTCTTTTCTATTTCATGCGTTTCATGAGTGCTCTTGTGGTAAGATTGCCATTGCGTGTAACTAAAATCAAATACTTATATATTCTGTGTTATTGGTAATCTAATCTAATTACGTAAATATAATTGGCAGCGGAAGTAGTTGTTAGTTGTTTCATTGTAACATCAATTAAATTATTTTGCAACATCATTTGAAAGCATAAAAGAGGGATATGGAAAAGATGTATTGCCACTGGTGAATAGATTTCATGTCCTCCTATTTTTCAAATATACCATCATTTGTGTTCTTTTTCTTTTTTTAAGCGTCATTATTTGCATTATAATTTGTTATAATTTATTTATTTGACATGCCTTTAGTCGGCTAAAACGTACAACATGTTAAAGTAAAAGCTCGAATTGTAGTTATTTCCTGCTATTATTTGCAGGCGTGATGTCGCGCCGAGGGCGTAGAAGAGTCGACGAATGCGCCAGCAGGGCTGGAAACGAATTTAGGAGTCAAGGGCCTGACTCTCCTTTACTCCAAAATGACAGCAATCAGTTCCCAACCACTTCCTACGCCAGTGTGAACTCCATAGATCAGTCACATCATCAAGAGGTGATGTTTTAGAATTAAATTATCCGAATTAACTCATAAAACGACTTTTATACTTAGAGAGACTGAATACAATCTGTCTGTATAATACAGAATTATTTTTACTATGTGGTCAACAATTTTTTTTTAAAAGATCTAGTAAGTTTACGCCTGATGTTGAATGATGATTGAGATGATCAATACAATCAGTGCGAACTATGAAGTTCACGTCTGGTATATTTTGTAACAAGGAAGAGAAAAATTTCGTATCTTGTTATTATTAACATAATAAGATAACGTTATTTTTAGGACATTTAATTATAAAAAAAAAAACAAAAGCATAAAAAAATATCATAATTTTACATTACTGTATTTCTAAAGCTTTAAGAAAGATTCGTGTAACATTTGAACTGGTACAATTGACCGAATCAATTAAAAGTACCAAGAGACATGTAATTTAATTTTAATTAACTGTAATTTCATGTTTTCCGGTTATCTTTTCAGTTAAAGTGCGTAAATATGTATGTATTGCTTGACAGATGGTAAATGTACCTGCATTTTTATCGTGCTTTATCTATATGCATTTTCTCATCGCGAGGTAAATTTAGTTTCCGATATAGGTGTCGTACAATGCAGGTCGTGATAAATTAATTCGACAGTAAGATTTGCTATACGAGTAAATATCCTGCAATGAACAATTTATTTTTTTTAATGTTTTCCCTTGCACGACATAAACTTGAAGCTTCATCTAAAAGTATTAACCGTCCATAGTCGAGATAGAACATCGAACATGTACAAATTCGAATTTTGCATTGTATAGATCCGTAAAAAAATTGTATACATGTGTATATATGTGTATAGCTAGCCGTAATTCTCGACGTGGATAGATTTATTATTGTCAATTTGAAATTCATGCGGCATCGATATCGGAGTACTTTACCTTGGATTTTATTTTTTCCACAATATACAGGGTGTACCATCTAACTTTATCACCTCTATTATGGCAGTAACAATTTTTTTTGTAAGTGAAGGAGTCGCGGTAATTTCAAGATTACGTTTGCTTTTTTAAATAGAGTCGTATATTTTTTTTATCTAAACTATTAGTTTAGGAGATATTTTAATCTTAATTCTGTAAAATTCATCGTATGAAAGACAGGAGCAATTCTTTCATTCATAGTGTCCTTGTCTTTCATGCATAAATTTTATAAAATTAAAATTAAAATATCTCGTAGACTAATAATTTATCGACATAGATAAATTGCTTTCTCATAGAGAATGTCAAACTGGAAAGGAGTAAAGAATATATTATTTCTGAATTTCTCAAACTACAAAAAACATGGTCCTCTCCAAATTAAACAATTCTTATTGACAAAATCTTTTCAATCTTTTCACAAGTAACTGAAACATATCAGGTGATAAAGTGTTAGGTGGCATGTATGTATAACAATAGAACTTATTGTTTCTTCTATATAGTTGATATTAGTAACAGTTTTCAGAAATTTTTTTTTTTTGTTGAAATCAAACATTCAGAAAGTATTTCGTATTCCTTTTATTTTTTCTTATAATCAATAGGTAAATTTTAGATAAACTTTTTTTTATTTAGTTATTTTTGTCTGCAATTTTACTTGGTTTAGGTTACTACATAGGCGAGTCACAAGATCCAAATATCAATTGTTTTTTTAATAACGTCTAGTAACTGCTTGGTTCTATTAGGTTCTCTTCTTGCAACTTGCCTAAATAATTCTACGTAATCAATAAATTTGACGAAAAGAGAAAAGAAAGAGACAGTTAGCCTTGTTATTGGAGGTTAAAGAACATAAACGTGTTTAATTTTTGTTGCGTGCATCATCGGTGTCTTGTAAGAGTTGTACGTTTGTACTCAATGCCTATAACAAATTTAAAACAATATTGTTTTTCTGTGTGCGAAATTAAATGGAGAATGATGTTTTGAAGCTAGCTTAATCGCATCGAAACGATGTCAATCCCCCCTTTATAAACGTAAATATTCCCCGTAAACACGAGTTCAGACTCGTATGTTTTGTAAAATTATTTGTATACAGATAACAATTTTTATACTGACAACAAAAAGAATACGTGACACAATGTTGTAAAGAACCTCGCTAGTTAAATTATAGATCCGTTGGTGATTGTTACGATATTACGCTGTGTATACGGGTGAAAAAAAAAAAAAATGATACTTGTTCGTATAAATCGATGTTTGTAAATCCAGTTGAGTATTCGTTATACATATGAGATTAGTATTCAAACAGTCAAAAGCATGTCCTACATGTATACATGGTTAACAAAAAAGAAGTATTATGAATGTTAAATAAAAATGTGCTGTACGCCTGGTAACAGGTAAAACTTAAAAATTATACTCGGGTTCATTCACGTATGAAAAATGTATATGAACAACATATCACCGCAGAATCTTCAGTATTAAATTTTTGTGTGATGGAGACAAAGCACGGCAAATACTACCAAAGAGATGTCCGAACAACACAATACCATGTTAACACGTAATACAAATAAAATTCTTTTCTGTTTGTACGATACAAACGTTTCTGTGTATTCATGTGTAGAAGAACGATACATTCTTTGTGCATGTGTAGTAGTGTGGAAAAACAGTACCGGCGGATATTCTCTTTCTTTTACAGAGACCGAGAATTTTACAATAAAATAGAGGATTTATTGCGTACATCATACACATCTTACATAAATTAATATAATGTTAATAATATATTAAAGGATTGTCTTTTTTTGTACATGCACACTTGAGAATCACCGTTTGCCTTGAACTCGAAACATATGTAAAACCGTGTGTAATTAATCCATCGCATGTAAAGGACCAAACAGATGAACTGCTGGACAATTCTCGTCCGGATTGCCAAGAAACTGCGCGTATAGTTCTTGATAACGCGACAACGTTATCCCACCGCGTCTCCGGTCGTCGTCCTGCGTCAAAACGATTGAACAACGTTATAAGAAACGAGAAAATTCCTCTCGGGCCACGTTAGCATTTATGTATATCCATGTTTATGAAAGCATAAAACATAGCTTGCACGAACAGTTAGTTTACGTTCATCAAACTTGGCAAACTTTCAAGCTATTGTTCTTTACGTTAAATTTAAAATTAATTCGATCCTAGTCGTGAATCTTTTACTACTTCTCTTTTCGTGTATCGATATTACCAAGAATGGAGTTCTCTGAAATTTTGTTTACGGATTCCCTAAAACGTGAGGTATGTACATTACATGTTCAATTTGAGGTTAGGTTCGTCAAATTAATCAATACGGTCAGAAACAGTACTGCGTATAAACGGTTTTGCAATACGACAAACTGTTACTCTCTGCAAATCGGATTAGCGATGTTTTAAATCGTTCATCCTTCAAAACGACTGGTAACACGATCTCTTACATTAAGAAGATTTTGGTAGGCTTCGTCCAAGATGTTTACATTGTCTACAGGAATTCTTGTTACGCAATTGTAGCGAAATTCATCGGCAGCGATTACACCATCGTCTAAAAACAATATAATAATTTATTAACATGTATGCGACGAACAAACACGACAAACGACGCACCAGTCTGATTTACGCACCGTTTAAATCTACTATCTTAAAGTGACTGTCGATGAACATTTTCATCGCCTGAGGGAAGTCTCGATATTCTCGTCCGACGCAACTTCTCTGCACCGCTTCCTTGAACTCCTCGATAGTTACAATGCCATCCTGAACAGGAAACGATCATAAGAAACGAGACGTTTTACGACAGAAGCAAAACGCGCCATTCTACAGGGTGATTCACATAACCTGCACACCTGAAATAACTTTTAAATTATGCGTCTAATGAAAAATTGTTTGGTACAAAAGTTGTATGGTTTTAAAGAAGTTTTAAAGTATGGCGTATCAATTTTTTTGTGGCTTTCGAAATTTTCAAGAATATTAAATTAAGTAAAGTAAAGTAAAGTAAAGTAAATCAAGTAAAGTATTAAGCCACATGCAAAACCCAATGATTAAGAAGATAATTTGAGACAACCTAGTGCATAGAGGACTATTTGCTTGCCACACATGTATGTTCCATGGACGTTGATCATTAAATTTTCGATTTATGATGAAAAAGATTTATAGTCCATTTAAAACAAATAAAAATGACCTCGGAAATTTCGAAACCCATAAAAAATTGATACGCCATATTTTGCCTCTCTCAAAACCATACGACAATTTGTACTAAACAATTTTTCATTAGACGCATCAACTTAAAAGTTATTTACGTGAATCACCCTGTATAGTGATCTTACTTTATTGAAATCGGCAAGCTCTGCGATTTCTTCCCACAGGGAAAGCATAATGTGCAGGTTCTCTTGATAACGACCATAACTGAACTCTCCTTTCCCTTCGATTAAGGTCATCTTGAGAGCCATGCATTCGAAATCGTGCTTCTCCAATATGCCATTGTTGTCTATGTCTGTGTGACACAAATATATATCGTAAAATTAATGAGCTGGTGATCGCGGCGAAGCGCAAAAGTCAATACATGCGGCCAATTAATCAATCGGATCGTGCCAATTTATTTTTAAGGAAATCTAGTCATTGTGCAGCTGGACGCGTTCCAAGTATTTCGCTTTTTGGCAGAGGTCGACATTCGTCGCCCCACGTGCACGACCCCCCACAGATGAGTCGTCCGAACCAAACCGTATTTTATACTCGGGGGAAGATAATCGTGACGAAATTTTAATCGATTGCTCGATCGGATCGATTATCGACTTTGTATATCGACGCCACGATCCTGAGTCATCGGCTTCTCTCGACTATCGTGTCGTCGACTTCTCTCCGTGTTATCAACTATCGATATCTTTTCGAAACTTCGAATCGTAGAAACCAATTTTGTAAAACTCTTTATTTATTTTCTCTTTCATTTGCATATGCAAACAAGTTCGAACTATGAACAAATTTTTTTCTTCTTTTTCTGAACAGGTGAACAGGTTAGATCATTGCCATTGTTATTACTATTATTATTAGGTGATTTGTGATTTTTAGATTTTTTTTTGTTAGAACATCATATAGGTTGTTAACGACGTATCGTTTACACACAGCCAGGACGTACATATATTAAACAAACGCTTGAGAAACATCGAACAGATTGTTCCATAAGACAAATTGGTGCTAAGCTTAAATTTGGCATCAACCGATTGCATGCAACCGACGGCATGGTATACTTTAAAATCAACCTACATCCTAAACAAGCATGACAGCCTCGAAGCCAGAACAGAATTATTTTTTCGTTCTCTAGAGCAGTCGGCTAACTGGCGGCCCGCGGACCCTTGCCCCTACTTTCCTCACCGCTAACGCTACCCCCTCCATTGCATCAGTGGAAGAGTGGGGATCGTGCACGGCGAGAAAACTTCAATGTAGTGGAGAGATCGATGCAGTGGAGGGGGTAGCGCTAGCGATCAGGAAAATAGGGGCAAAGGTCCACTGGCCGCCAGTTAGCCGGCTCTGCTCTACAGCATAGTTTTCTAGAGTATAAGTATAAGAAACTCTCTTTTCTCTCCTGATATTCGTCGAGTAGAAACTTGTGTACAAATTGCACAAATTTTCCCCGAACAAGGATCGATGATACATATGACACATTTCGCTGAGGGAACAATGCTGAAAGGATCTATCAGGTTTCACATAAATCACACATCGATATTTCTGTCGATAAATGGACACTTTGATAAAACATGCTCTCGACTTGGAGTAGCGATGATATTATCACTCTGCTGTTAATTAACAGGTTATTTGCCAAGATACGGTCACGCAAATTCTATTGAGAATAGAACCGCTTTATTACTAACCATAAAGAAATCTTACAATGAAATCTACCCGATTGTCCCAGCTGTACGCCATTCTCCGAGAAGTCTCTCTATCGGCGGCGAGTCCCTTTTTTTTTTTTTTTTTTTTAATCGTTGCTCCTCTTCCTCCAATATATATTTGTCAAACGCTGATCTGAAACTGAACGTATTTGAGCGTGAAGGGAGAAACACACACAGGTAGTAACAGTGAAGAATGGGCTATGAAGAAACTGATTCGAGAGGATGGTGGTTTTGCACTGAATGCGAGTCGAGTTTCCTCGAGTCGTGGCTAAGTTTAGAGTACCCCTCCTTCGAGAAGGAAGGACGACATGGTAACGCGGCTGGCGACACGGGGAAGGGGCTTCAGGTGGTACCGGCATGCCGCATGCCGCTGCCGCCGGTGTCACCAGGTCACAGTCACCGAACTTGACTGAAAGTGAAGTCGCTTTCGCCGGCTTTCATCGCCTAACGCATCTCTTGTTCACGCGCCTACCTCCTTTCTTTTTCTTCGTTCAACCGAAACGTCGACTTGTCGTCGATTGACAACATCATTCTTTCAGACTCGTGTCTGCTCTTGCGCCGTAAAAGCTGCTCGTCGTCGAATGAAAGCAGTGACGTAAGAAAATACTTTGATTAACTGAAAACTGTTTCGTAAATGCAGCAATCGCATCGAACGACTTTACAACAGTAGTTCTCAATGTTTTTGGTCATGCCCTTTAAGGTCCAAAGAACATGACATCCGTGTAAGAAAGAAATTAAAATGTTAAATTTTCGTTCATAGAAATGCAAAAAATTCACTGTTGATTCACTCATTCTCGAATTGCCCCCCTCCTTTCACCTCCGCCATGTAGGTCCTACGTTGAGAACTACGGGTTTAGAATAATATAATAAGTATTTAGAAGTAGATAAGTATAAAACGTGATTATTTAGAAAAATTGCGAAATTGTTTGTAACAAATCGCAACGAGACGTACCGTTCACGATGACAGTTAATTAGAGCAGTCTGTCAAAACCATCTTCGACGAGTTTTCTATTTTCGAACAAAGAGTACGAATTGCGCGGGAAATGGTCCGTTTCCAACATAATGAAGATAACGAGCCGACATACGTCAATCGTTGACACTGATTTGTGCAAACTGCGAACGAAGTCTCGTGATTCTTTTAAATATATCTTTTCAAATCGGACGAACACAATCACGTCATCTGGAAATACAGATAGACTAACTACACCGACGAAGTTGCTTAACACGTGTATTTTCACGGTCAGACCTTCTGAAATGCCAACGTTCGTACTTTAACACTAAAACTACCAAAATGGTCAAACTGACCGATTGATAATTTCTGTTTAGATATCTTATAAAACATAAGTGTATTTTTAGAGACTTAAACGATCCTTCGTAAAATACGTAAATAAAAGCTTGGTTATCTTCTATTGTCTTATAAGGACTTTCTGTTTCTTTCACCTTAATGTCTCTCTAATGGAAATTTTTATTCTTTACTTGTAACCAAGAACAGATCGGATCGAAACGGAAATAATAAACAATAAGTTTATCCGCGTTGTTGCATCATCGTTCATTTGGCTCACCAACGAAGAGAATTCATTCTCTCTCTCTCTCTCTCGCTTTCTATGTCTTTACACGCAAATTCTTGAAAATCGTTTCTCGCGCTTTCTCCAATTTTCGTGGTCCTCCAAGCATTTTCACTAAATACGTGCATTAAACGTCGGATAAATAAAAGGTAAACGCGTCGACTGTGCATACGAACAGTCTAATCACTTCGGAAATGTATCGCGAGTTGAACGCAGGCAAACGTTGTTCTACATTTTCCCAATCAGCGCTTACAATGAAAATGAAGCGAGCCGGAAGACGCGAAGCGAATACTCATCGTATAAAGCACTCGGTTCTGGAGGAAGGTGTCAGTTGGAAAGTGCGAGCACTCGTACGAAGAACGAGAAACAGAACGGATCGAACATGAAATCGAAGCTGCGATGCCTGTGTCTGCCCGTGATCTTCTTTCTCGGTGAGTCTCGCGATTCGTTCGTTCCTTCTGTAATAGATCACGGGTGTCCAATCTTTCAGATCTTCCGGCCAATAAAAATTTATCCAGGGTCGCACATAACCTATATCATGTACGAGGATAAAATCAACTTAGAACAACTTTTACAGTGAAACGATTCATTGATTAGAAAAATATGTTTATATTAATTGAGAACAAATGAAGTGACTTTTTAATGAAAACACTCCGGGCTCGTTTTTTTAGATACTAGCTTATCAATATCTGATTTGATATAGGTAGTGGCAATACAAAAATGCTCGTCAGAAGTGTTTGCTCTTATTTTATTTTTTTATAAATATGAGTACTCTCTAAAAGGGACATGATAAACATTCGTGGTGAAAGTTATTCAAATAATAAAATTCTCGTTCGATTGTTCCAATTTTGGTTATACAGACGTGGGTCACGTGAATAGGGTCTAAGGGCCGCGGGTTGGACACCCCTGTTCTAGTTCGATCGCGATCGTTGCGAACGTTTTTCCGCGAGACAGTTCTGATCCCGCTTGGAAAATTTCAATCGACGCCGATATTTTCGACATTTCGAAACGTCTGTGAATGAAAACAGTTGAACTTCCGCGGTGAGATCAGCAAGCAGGCCGCGAGTTACAGAAGTTTCACTTCCGTTTTTGCCACCCGGTGAAAATATCAGCGGAGGCAACGGGAGATTTCTCCTCCGAGAGTGATCCATTCCAACGGAGCCGTGAAAGTCTTGCAACGTTTTGCAAAGTTTTAGCTAGTTGGACCAGTTGTTGTTTCGTCGCAAATTTGGAACAATACGCAGCACGCGTCGCGTCTGCGTATGCTATATGTCGATTCAGCGTATTTAGCTCGGCAGAAGAAACAGAACGAAGATAGTTTTTGGCAGAACGTTGGGATTCGATTGAATTTCCGTATATTTTAGCGAGCACGTCACTGGGGAAAGAGACACCGGAAGACACGCCGTGCATCGACGATAACAAGTTTTATCGGAATCCCAATGCACCGACGCGCAACATTTGGTCGCCCGTTGAATGTGCCAAGTATTATCTCTGCTTGGGTAATTCTGTATATCATCGTTTACAATCGTGCATTCGTTCGTTTCGTCTGACGTTGTAGATCATCAATGGATTTTCTTTGATTGGTAGACAACGAGGTGTTTGAATTCAGATGCTCTCAGGGGTTGCTGTTCGACGTCTCTAGGCAAGTATGCGATTTCAAAGCGAACGTCGACAACTGCGACGTGATGTCAGGTATGCACGACTTGAAGATTTTGTTAATGGTAACACTGTACAGGCCGGCGACGTTTCGCGTGAGACCATGGCGCGTGAAAGTAGCGCAGAATGAGAATAGAAATTAAAGTTTTGAGGTTCTAAAAAATTCGTGTGCTAAGGAACGTAAAATAAATAGTAACAAAAGTAATGTTTTTAAACGTGTACGTATATTTAGTAATTTTTTTTTTCTTTTAAATAGTAAAAGTAGTAGTGAGAAAAGTAAAATAAAGTAGTAAAATATATTGTACAGGCTTGTACAGTGTTATTAAGTTGTCGGGAAAGAAGGTAGACAGGCGATAGAAACCGTCGGATGGTGATTGGAAGTTCGTTCAAGCGTTTTACAGAGTCGCAGCCACCGAGACCGCTCCTCGAGGACGGTGACTGCGGTGAAAAGCATTTAGCCTGCGGCGATGGTACCTGTTTCCCGGCTACGTACTTTTGCGACGGAAGTGTCGATTGTCCGGATGGTTCCGACGAGGCCTATTGCGGTAAGGAATTTTCCAAGTTGGATTAAGCGTTAATAAATGTTGTATATATATATATATATATATATAACAAGTTGGATCAAGTGTTAACGAACGATTTCGTCGTAGATGTTCAAGACGATCCGAACGGCGCGGTGTCTTGCAATCCGGAGGAATGTCGACTGCCAAACTGTTGGTGCTCCTCGGACGGGACGCAAGTTCCTGGCAACTTGACGGCGTCGATGGTGCCGCAGATGATAACAGTTACCTTCGACGACGCTGTGAACGCGGAGAATTTCGAGCTTTTCTCTAGTAGGCGCAACCCGCTCTTACCAAATATGTAGTAGTACTGTACGTCCAGAGAAAGTGTCTACTATACTTTCTGCTCTTGCTTTCAGAAATTTTTTTAAACGATAAGAAAAACCCGAACGGATGTCCCGCTCGAGGCACTTTCTACGTCAGCCACCAGTACACCAATTACAGAGACGTGCAATACCTGTGGAACATTGGGCACGAAATTGCCGCGCACTCCGTCACGTAAAGATACTTTTTAGAACCGAACGAGAGAGTAACGCAAGAAAGTAACGCGTGCGTTAATCGTTTCAATTGCACCACAGGCATCGGGGACCAGAAGAATGGTGGTCGAGAAATGCCACTATCGAGGATTGGTTCGACGAAATGGTCGGCGTTGCGAATATCATTAACAAATACGCTGCGGTTCGTTTAGAAGATATCAAAGGCAAGAGATCGTTTCTTTTTTTTTTTTTCTTCAAAAGATCACGTTTGATTGTGTTTCCTCAAGAATATGTTTTTAACTAGAACGATCCATGCAATAGGTTTGAGGGCACCATTTCTACGAACTGGTTGGAATCGACAGTTTTTAATGATGTCAGAGTTTGGATTTGTCTACGACTCGTCCATGGTGGCACCGTTCTCCAACCTGCCTGTGTGGCCTTACACGCTGGACTACAGACCTCCACACAGTTGCGTAGCTCGTCAGCAATTGTGTCCGACTCGTGCATATCCAGGTGTATGGGAACTTCCGATAAATCAACTTTTAGCAGGCGTAAGTTTTGCGTAGCAAGGTATTAAACAATCTTCTTACTTGTAATAAGAATAATGGATGCTGTCGTATTGCAAAGAAATAATGAAAACAATTATTTTTAATAGCAATACACCTGTGCAAGAATGGATTCGTGTCCTTCGGATTTGTCAGGCGAAGATGTATACAAAATACTGACGCTGAATTTTAAAAGGCATTACCTTAGCAATCGCGCCCCGCTGGGCTTGCATTTTCATGCATCTTGGTTTCAAAATCCGTCGTACTTTTACGCATTCAGTGTAAGTAGACGTAGTTCTAATTAAGTATTTTACAGCTACTATTTATATCGATCAATTTTAGAAATTTATGGACGATGTATTGAGATTAAACGATGTGTACTTCGTAACGAGCTATCAGGTAATCGAATGGATGCGCAAACCAACGTCCTTAAACGCAATTGAAACGTTCAAGCCGTGGCAATGTAACTCACGAATATTCCAGCCGTTTGAATTTGCTTGCGATTTACCGAACAGTTGCAAATTACCAAGTAGAGTTCTTAAATCGTATCGTTATTTACACACATGTTTCGAATGCCCTAAAGAATATCCTTGGTTGAGGAATGAATTTGGAACGGAATAATACCAATGTTGCACACATTTGTAACTTTTGTACGAAAATCACGTTTCTTTAATAGTAAAATTCATTACAATAATATAACATAAATTATATTTAATTCCATTATAAAAAGTTAGTTGAAATCAGAACCTCCAGAGATCAAGAAATTTAATTTCTTGTCAGAAATGTTGGTCAAACGGAAAACAATTTTAGTGTCTTAACCTTCTTGCTGTATGAAAGGATTTTGAATGGATTCCATTCCGTCTACTGGGCAAATAAGTACCACAGACGTGCCCCTGCATACGACTAAACCTAACATGCGAGTGTCTTGATTCAATTTATAAGGATCGTCCGGATCTACAGAAATAAATGTATCAATAAATATATTTGTAGTCGTACGAAGAGATGTGACATTCAGTAAAATTGCCTACCTCTGAGGTATTCCGTAGTGTTGTCAAGTACCAAATTGAGAAGCGGATCATATCCTTTCAGAATCCCAGCAGCTTCCCTCCCACCAGCGAACTTCACTCTAATATTTTTCTCCAGATATTTCGAAAGATCAAGAATACTCTCCTTCTTCTTCCTTTCTTTCGGTTCCCCATGAGCATTCTGTTGCTGTAAGAACACAAAAAAAAGGTTAAACTATACTTATAGGTTATGCTATTAAAACAACGAATCTTTACTTGTTTCGTCGCTTGTAAAATATCAACACACCAATCGGCCGATTAATATTTTAAAAACGAAATCTTAATATTTGCAGTGATTCTTTTTTGTACTTACAGACATTGTTCGGCTTCCTCGTAAACCGGGAACGTTACGCTACCGCGCTACCACGCGAGTACGACGCATTTTATGCCGACGTTCGTACGGGGATACCTTGGAGGTTAGATTCTTGTTTGCGTTTTTTCAAATGTCGATTCTCGTTCTTTTTCCCGCGCTTTGCAGTCGTTTCAAGCCTGGGCGAAATTGATCTCGAATGACAATTTGTAAATAAGTTTTTAAAATAATGTTCTTTAGTATTTTTGGCAATTAATGGTATGTAGCTATTTATCTGCTGTAGCAAATAATAGGGAAAATAATAAATTGAAGAACTGATTATTCGAGAAAATAATATTTATTTCGTCTTTAAAGTAACGCTCAAAATAAATAAATCAATGAAAGCAAAATACTCAAATGAAAAAAAATTAATCAATAAAAACCAAACTAATTTATTAGTGTGTATGCTATTACACGACAGAAATTTGTCTTATTGTTAGCTATTAATAGGATAGTAACTATAGAGTAGTCGCAGAATAAGAAATAGTAAATAGTGGTCATTATAATTTGAAAAACTACAGTTATTTCTATCAAAATCAAATAATAAATAAGATCATGGCAAATAATCTATTTTCACGAGATGACAAACGAATCATTCAATTGAAAATAAATTAATTTAATTTTTATATGAAACACTTAATCATGAATTGTTTCTAAAATAACTTTAAAAAGTTATTTGAGAAATTTTTCAAAACACCCAAGTCTAGCTAATATATGCTTATCGTTAAAAACGATGAATTCTTTGGAATTGAGGAAGAATCGTCGTCAATAAAGTATAAAGATATTTCGAACGTCTTTATTGTTATAACGTTGTCGTGTTGATATGGTAACAATGGGACGATGGGCAACAGTCGCAATAATTTCGTAAAAGCTTGGATTTTATTTCGTATCCGATTTATAAAAAAATACATGTTGATACATGGTGTGTGAGTGGATGAGTGGTACAGTTACTTAGAGTGGCCGTTTTTCTTATTCACGTCTTTAAGAATAAAGTGTTTGCGATCGTAACAAATGTTCATTACATCCTATGATTACGAATGGAATCCTCGGTGACACGGCAGACTTATCGTTTCTTCCTAACTGTTCGGCGCTTGTGTGTCGATCTCGCTCATCTCGTTGCATTTCAATCGAAATGATCGATACTCTGCAATCGTTGTGCTTGCAACTAACTCTCCCTCTCCAGCAAGACATTTTCCTTGACCGTTTCGACAGAATCGACATTGTACTTGTGAAAATTTCGACACCTTTCGCGTGTGGTTTGTTCGCACTTCGAACTCGTACTGTCCTCAACTATTTTCTGGCTGGCTGCTTCTGGATGGACACTGTATTACCGTATATACGATTAAAAAACTCATCGATGCAACGGCTAAATAAACTCGTATTCTTAACTTATATCTTACATCTGCACGTTACTCTTTTTTCTTTTTTTCTCTTCTTTAGGCAAAAATTAAAATTCGATGTACAAAATACATAGTGTTTTATGGCCAAGATTTTAACGAGCAAGGCTTACAATACGTCTACGCAGGATCTATCATCGTAACGTTTCGTTATGTCGTATGTTCATCGTGTTTTCTGCAACTGTGCAAGTTAATTGCGATTAACTGCTACTTTTCACAGAGCTTAAGGAGTACGTCTATCATCGACTGCCGTTCTACCGTGTGACGGTTCGGTGCGAAAGATTCTCGCTAGAATTAAACGAAAGAGAACGTACTATGGCGTCGGCTGTCGGAGAAACGGAAAAATTAGGTCGCAGCAGTGAACGTCTCTCTCTCTCTCTCTCTTTCTTTCTCTCCCTCTTCTAAGAGCACAGGCAATATCTGACTTTTGGACGAAATCAATTGACCGGGAAGTTTACGCGCGGTAACTTCTCGCACAAAGTTGCAACGAAGGGTTTTTACCAGCCGTGTTAAAAATATAGAGATTACTTGAGAGGATGACGTTTATCTGAAATAGATTCCTTCCTTAATACGTAAACACGGAGACACGCTTCTAAACAATTCGTCATGTTTGCTGTCGATCTTCCTCCTGCTCGGACAGCAACGGTATGTCGTTCGACTGATCGACGTTATTGCTCTCCGTTTCATCCTGTTCCGAAAGCAACGGAACCACTTGCCGGTTATTGTTGTCCGTCTCGGAAGGCCGTATACTTTGCCCAGGTAAAAACGACATCGGTATCGTGCCGGACGGTGTCGTCGGCGCTGATCGCGACAGCCATCGTTTGGCCTTGTTCTTCGAGCCTGAAAGTCCCAACGGCATGTACATCTTTCCTCGCGTCCGTCTGGTTTTGTAAGATCCGATGTCCCCTGGGCTCAGAGGCCGTTGCGTAGAGCCGTTCGCATTCGCAGACGGGCATAACACCTGAGGTCGATTTTGGTAACAAGACAGAACGGTACTGTGCCCGCCAGGTAGCTGGGGCAGTTGTTGAATCTTGTCTAACAACTCGCGTAACTGAAAAGTCGCATTATTTACGTTAGAAGGATTATTACCTTTGTACGTGTGCGTACCTTGTGCGATTGAGATGCAACGAATACCTCTATCGTTGGACTAGTAGCCCGTGGTGGTGAACACGGAGATTGAGCAGCTAAACTCGATATGTCAGAGGTAGTTCTATGATTAGCCAATGATACAACCGATCCAACATCCATGTTATCCATTCTCGCACACTCTACACCGGACAGCTCGTCAACGCTGTTGTTACACGAATACGGCGGCGGGATTATGGTGTTTGCCTCATTGACCATGTTACACATAAAACTTGAACCCAACGAATCTAAGGTGCTTGCGTGTGAGAGCGATCTGAAATAACGCATTACAAATCCTGAGGTTCCCTTGCCAGATCCTTCGTCGTATCCAATAACCAGTGGGTAGAGATTTGGCTTTGCTGTAACCTAGAAATTAAGAATGTTGATGTGAGACGAGGAGGAACGATATGACATAAATGTTACAAATGTACCTCATTATAAGGAGGTGGTAATGCTTGGACGAAGGAACCAGAACGGCTATAACGAGGTGGCGAGTACCAGGACACTGAAGATCCTCTATCAGAAGAAGTGAAGTCCTCTACTATTTCTGGAGACCATGAACGATGATGAAAGGAGTGCTGACGCTTCCATAACCAGCAACCGCATACTGCTGCTGCTATTGCTAATCCAACAAGCCCCGCTGCCCTATTAACACAACAAAGTGGGAATGAGTTTAACCTTTCAGAGGGGATTTACAAAACCCAAAGGCACAAGACACTGACCACAAATACCAATAAGTCCAAATCAAGAAATTAAACATGTCTGATGCAGAGTGCAGTTGAAATACAGCGTAACAACAGCCAAAGGAACAGCACTCTTTTGGAGGAGAGCAGCTAAAAATTACAAAATAACAGTGATATGTGGTGGTTTTATGGTAAGGTAAGTTCAAACAATAGAAAGTACAGACTTACACATGCCCCCCATTGCACAGCCTAGAAGACACCTACACAGGAATGAAGAAAAAGATGATTGTTATTTAATAAAATGAGAGAGAGAGAAAGAGACAGAAGAGAGAAAAGTCGTTAAATTCAATTTAAATTCCAGGAAATCTATCACATCTAAGCGTTACATGCGAACGTTCTCAAACTTATACATTTTATGTAACATGTTCTACGAAAGAGAGAAAAAAGAAAACGAAGAGAACTAAACGTTTAGAATTGATTGTTAGAGTGAAAAGGTGTCACGATACTTGCTACAACAAAGTTCCATCGATACTCTCTGGTTACACACGTCGAGAATCATCCGACTATAAAGGATTAGTTCCGCGTTGCGAGAAAACGTACGACACAACGGTAATTACAGTCGCACACCGCTATACGTGTTCGACGATGAAAACATAACATTTCGAGTTGTCATAAGAGGAAATAAATGTAGAAAAGACTTACGCATGAACGATAAACACAACGAACGAGGGTTCATTGTCTAGGCACGGACAAGCCGTGCGTAAAACCGACCGTATTGATCGACCTCAGGTCAAGCAGAATAGAACAAGGAGACACTGGTACACAAGATATGCTAACATTCTACAGGGCTATAGCATGCTGCAGCGGTTTACGAGAGCTGCATCATTGAAACGGTTCTTCGTCGTCATTCTTACTTGATCGACGAATAACGTCAGAAGTGCGGACATCACGGGCACATCGAACACGCGGCCTACAGCTTGCACCATAATTCTACCACAAAACGCATGCCACCGCGCCACCTTATACAATCGAGTTCGATTTCCTTTGTCACACATCCGCCAATAGCTGCGGAACAACTTGCCTCGCTTCCCGTTCCAATTGAAATTTCCGGATTTTATGTTTCCGCTTTGCAATCGTTTCAACATTCTCGCAAGCAATTACTTTCTGTTGAGAAAAATAAATCTGATACTTTCTATTATTTTAATTTTAATTTACAAAAGCGTAAAAGTAAAACTGCAGCAAGTTACGAACGATTCGTAAATGAAAATGTGGTAATTGCACGGAGGAAAACCCAGCAAATGTATATTTGCAAATTACAAGACACGTATCTAAAATTTAACCATGAACATAGAATAGACCTGACGTGTAAATCGTGTCCTTTTGTTAGGCGATTTTAGACATCGCCTTCAGCTGATGGGGTGCCATCCCCTTACCATTTGCGTGTCAAATGCGACATTATCGATTCACCGTAACGAAAATGTGTACCTGCAGTCGGTAACTCGACGTTTCGATACGATCTCAATAAACTCGAACTGTAAATTACAATTTCTGTCAATCGAATTTAAGTGCAAATTTCAACTGAAGTTCACACTCAATTGGAATTTAAGTAAAGGATATAATCGAATCTGCGACACTGCATTTACATTGGAGAAAGAAAATATCAATTTTTCGGCGTTAGTCGAAATCACTCGACTAATTATCGCGTTTTCGCATTTCAAACGTATCGGTTGTAATTTGTGACGCGTAAAGGATTGTGTTAATCCGATTGGCCGACGTAGCGGACGGCTGACTCGTGATTGGTTACTGCGGATCCTACACCTGACGTAGGGCTGAAATAAACCAGCGTATCGTCCCGCGCATTGTTCACTACGCGCGCGACATTCGGTGCGTGATCATCGATGGGTGGAGAGTGCGCGCCGAGTACGGGTACACGTTGTCGGAATGGAGAACGCGCGTGCGATCAACATGTGACGTTTCGCGAATGGTAACGGTGATCAACGAATCCCCGATCGACTAGCCCAGTGGAGTCGAATATTTTTTGCCAAGACACTAGGAATCTCTACTGCCTTCAGTCTCGATCCTTCAGAGATTGCTGTCGAAGAATATGAATATACTGTTGTAACGGATCGAAAAGGTGAGCACAAACACTTGTCATAGAAATAGATTTAATTATCGAAAGATCTGCGTCACGTGTTACGTGATTATTCTTAACACTGGAACCACCAAGGTGATCAATTTGTAATTTCTGTTAGATGTTTTGTAGTTACGCAGTAGCAATGTACGTTTGAAGATTTAGACAATTTTTTCGTAAAATATATAAATGAAAGCTTGTATACTCCATTGTTAACTTACTTATAGTTTCTCTATTTTTTTTGACTCTAAAGTTTCTGATGGAATTTTTACGCTTCGGTCACATCTAAGTAGTTCTAGTGTCAAACAATTGCAACGCAGAGACACGTAACGCGTAGAAACGTGCGTGAATAATTATTATATTCGTTCGCGTTCTCTCTTCTCATTCATTCGTTCGTTCAGGAATCGTTCAATTTGCGTTTCGCTCGGTGCGTTAATCTCTCCTTACTTCCGGGAAACAACTGTGTCGAGCTGTGCTTGCTTGTTAAACGGATGAAAATCGTACCCACGCGAGGCGTAAAACGTTAACGCGTTAGGTGGATTTCCCCTTCGAAACGATCTAAGTAAGCTAAATCATCCAAGGAATGTTTGCACTTGAGCCGACATGTTTTCCCGGCGAACGACTATTCTCTCCGGCTGTGCATGCGACTGTTGGCAAACTAGTACGACTTATGCATATTGTATGGGCATTCGCGGCCAGTGTGACTAGCAACGGAAGGAATTCAGTTCGTCCCCCCGAGTACGCACATACGATCGAGTTTCCCGCGTTCAACTGTACCACGTATGTATTCGAGATATAAGCGAAAGAAATATTATTAATTATTTAACGCGTGATGAGAAGGAGGAATAGTCGTCGATCGTTTATATTTTATACGGTGAAATTCTACCAACGGTAGAAGAATCGTTGGTATCTGACTGCGACGATCTGTGTTCGCTGGTATTGGCTGGTCGATCGTTTCGCCGAGCAGCGGCAAACGGAGGGGGGGGGGGGCAGGAAAAAAAAATTCGATCTAAGCGTAAACTTGCGTCACGCTTCGCACAATGCTAGCCGCGATGCAACATCGAATCGATCGTCGCCACGCGATAACGGATTATACAGTTAGCTTTTGTCCGTAGCCTTTTGACAGCGATCGCGAAAAAATCGGCGGTTTCCTCCTCCTCCTCCTCCTCCTCCTCCTCGGACCAAAGAAGTTCGTTGATGATTGTTGGGAACGGTGTAGATACGTGTACACTCTCGAGCGTTTCGAGTGCATCGTAAAACGCCTCGTTAACATTCCTTCTTTATCTGACTTAGGAAATTCACGCGAGTCAAACTCGAATTAAGAGATTACAAGAGGTGGTATTTGGAGCTAACAGCTGCAACAGGTCTGGCGTGTTTTAAAAAATTGCTCGGAAACGGAGACTCAAATGTAAAAAAGAGAGAGAGAGAGAGAGACAGAGAGGAAATGAACGCGATGTGTCCCGTTTCCGGTCAGGCCGTGAATCGGCCCAACCACGACCGACTTTTCCTGGATTCGGCTCACCGACGCCAACCCTATTTATATCCTGTCAGTTGTAACTGCTCGCGATATACGTCGGCTAACTCGGTTGAAAGTTCACCCATCGCCACGATGTCGAGTTGCAAAACCACGCGAATCTTCTTTCGTTTCGAACCAACGAAATTAGCCAAGTCGCGAGAGTGTACCTCTCCATCCCTCCATTTACGCGGAGTATCCGTTCCACGTTCGTTTTATGCGCAAATGAAAATTCGTCGGTACTACAAAAGAAAACAAAATATTGGAAGAAAAAAACTGGTATAGAGATACACATTTATTTCACATCTATATGTATATATATATATTTATTATATTTATATATTTCATATATATATATATTTCATATATATATTTTTATATTTATATATTTCGTATATATATATATATTTATATTTATATTTATATATTTCATATATATATGTATATATATTTATTATATTTATATATTTAACATAAGTTAACAAAAAAAAAAAAAATAATGACATTTCAGAAAGTAAAAGTAAATTTTATTCAGTGTCACTATCACTGAACAGTATAATTTAACCTTTCCTTTTTAATTAGCACAATCTCGTTATCCTTGTCGCTTGAAATATCTCGAAAGTTCGACTTCATTTTCATTGTTAACATTATTCTTTCGGATGTTCTCAAACTTATCTCCTGCCAAGTTTTCATAAATGTTGCCGATATTCGCGGCGACGTTTTTTTAAATCTTGTGGAAATTTTAAGGCTCGTCGAGCGTTTGGATCGGTGTCTGCAATGTACAAGCTATTAAAATAAATCCATAATTTTTTCATTATATATTTTTTTAAATTTCTTTTTCACAGATTTGTGAAACATAACTTGAACTTGAATTCAATTTAAAATTAATAAAATTAATTTTTTTCTAGTTATTTCGATTTTTTATTAAAAATAGAAAAGAAACTTTTGGCCTACTCTGTATTTATATAAAAACAATATAAAATACAAACAATACTGCGTAAACAGCGTTTTAATTTACCGCGTGAAAAAAAAAAGTGGGAGTAAATGGAGGGAACTGCGAAACGTGTAGTTTGTTATTCTCGTAAGTTTCAAAAATGTGAAAAATTAGGGGAACGGGAGCCGGGGTGCGCACAGGCATAGTCGGTGCACGAGTCAGCGTTGCGTGGGTGCCACGCCAACGTCCTCTATGCGTCCTGTGCGCGTGTACGCGCCAGGTGTAAATAAAAGCGAACGCGTAACCCTCTGTTAACGAAGCGCGGCCGAGCGGAACATTTTCTTTCGTCCCATTGTCAGCTGGTCGTGTTTCTCTCTCCCTCTCTTTCTCTTTCCTCTTCTCTTCGCTTTTCCCCGACGTACGTTGTGCAGGCTCGACACTTTGAAACCTATTGGTCATTAGCCTCGCTACTCGTCCTCCTCGTCAACTTGCAATACTGCATGCAATACTGTTACTCGAAGAAAACTCGTGGATCTTTATTCTCTATCCTTCGCGAACTCCTTTGTTTGCTCGAGGAATGCACGTGCGAACGTATAATACTAATCGAGTGCCCCCATCCGGTGGGCTGGATCGAGAATTCTCGCGACATTTTTGAATAACTGTCCACTCGTGAAAAATATCGCGACAATGAAATTATCGAAATATTTTTTTTCAATGATGTATTTCATGTTTGTCTCATCGTTGTTTCGTGAATTTTATATATAAACAAATTTGACAAATTATTCGTTTCGTTATCCTATTTCTGAACTAATTTAATCACATGTAGATAAAATTTTTAATTTCGAGATTATGAACAAAATTGAATAGCATTGAACATACACAAATTATACTTATAATTTAAATTTATAATACGAATGGGAAGTAATCCTGCAAATAAAATTAAGAAATGTAATAAAATTAGAATCGATATGTTTAATATACTTAGTTATTTTATTAGACATGAGAGAATAAAGTGTTAAAACTTGTGTTTTATAACTATTATTCTCCTTTTATTTATATGAATATTAATTCCATCTAATTTTTTATGTTTTTTATTTGTTGATCCCATTCTCAAAATAGAGTGGAGATTATTAATGATATAATTAAGTAAATTTTTTTTAATATCGAATTTTAAAACAAAAATTTTAAAATAAAAATTTATTTACGATTAATGTGAAACGTAAAATTTATTTAAATAATTAAATAATTGAATTAAATGTTATTGTAATGTAAAATAATATATTATATAATTGATATTATAAGAACTGGGACTCTTTAAAGAAAGAAACGTCAAGCTACTTGGTGAAATATTTTCAAAATATCCAACTTTAAACATTTGCTTGTTTCAATGAAAATTATTACCTTTCATTAATTCTATCAAATCAAATGTAAACTGATTGAAAATATCAATTGATTTTTTTACAAAATGTGAGAACTCTCGCTCCGACTTCCTTGAGTAAGTACATGTTATATACACGCTTTACAACAATAAGTAATTAGCGTCGAGCGATTGGTACATTAGCACGGAGTTACCCTAACCGAGGAAATGATTCTGCAGTTCGTGAAAACCGTTTCTACGCCGGGTCGATTCTACTCGAGTCTCACTCGTACTTGAGGTATTTATATCTTTGGCTGTGATCAAAAGAGCTCGCGGTCGCCGTCTTCTCATTCGCTCTCTGAGCACGGAGGCATTTCAAATGTCTGGAAACTTTGTCACTTTAGCTAGCAATTGTCATTTTCTGTACACATATTTTCTATCTGTCGTCTGTTGATGACCGAGTCGTTAAAGCGCGGGGGAGGGGGGAGGTTGAGGATCCAGCGATGTCGCACGACGAAATACCCATTTAAGCATCCACATTGTTGCCCCCCACCTAAGCGTTCGCCATCCCCACCAATTCTTGGTATTAGGGCTATCCCCACTCTACGCTACCTTGTGAAATATGATACAAAACAAACGGTATGTAACACCGATATCTCGGCGCGTTACGATTGTTTTGGACACGCATCGATCAAAGCGAGGCAAATTTTAATATAAAACGACAAATACATGTCCAATTTATATCAATACGATATTACACAAATACGAAATATAACACGATTATAGAGTTATATCGTGTGTATTGTTAACATAACGTTGTCCTAATATTGATGGAAATATAACAGTACCTTTATTCAAGGTTATCCGTTCAACTATTGATAATTATTGATTAACAACTGCTTTTATAGAAATTTCGATAGACTTTCGTGAAATTGTACACAATTGTATACGATTCGGTCGCTCGTTACGGTCTGCAATCAGTTGTGTGTTTCACCACGGCCCACGAAATCGATGATCGTCGAATTCACGTGGATGAAAAACTGGAGCCAGAGAGCGCCAAGAGTTTCAACCGCTGATAACTCAATCTCGCAGTTTCAACGCACGCGTCGCACGACAAATCTCGCAATTACGTTGCGAGTAAGTCTGGAATTCGTTGGAAGGGAGGAGAAGCGTCGTGACGAGGGAAACGGTTGAGAACG